ATTGTGCCTCTCATGAAATCAAAGTTCTATTACGGGCCTTGGAAAGGACTAAGAGTGGATGTTGCTCAATCAGAAAATCAGACCCATTCCATTGGGATAGCATTGTTTTATTTATTTATTTATTTATTTTTTTTTTTGGGGGGGGGGTGTCACTTTGCATTCCAATGGAAACCTCATTGGCATATGATATCTTGTCACCTGATCTACTCAAAACTCTGAGTATTTCTAACCCGGTTAATAATTTGGCACGTCTTGAAAATGTCATAGTGGATTGGCCATAAATGGAAGCACGGGAATGGAACTTGTCTTGGTGGATTGGCCATCGGTTCTTTTTTTTTTAATTTTTAGTTTTAAAATTTTTGATTTATTCAGTTTTCATTTATGACAATTGGGGTATTTATCAATAGAATTATGGGATTTTAGAATTATAAGAATTTTAGGAAAACTTAAAGGTGTTTTAAAAAATAATATTAAATCTATGGATATTTTATTAATTTATCATTAGGTTTGGTGAATTATATGCAAACCCTATCACCCACCCAATCTCCGATTTGGGGTAAAAATATTTTCCCTATCCCTGCCTCGTTCTTGATCCGATTGGGGTAGGGCAAGTTAGGGGTGTTCACATTAAATGTCAAACCGACCCGACCCAACCCGAATTGGTCAATTTTTCAAAACCACTGGTCGGTTTCAGTTTGTATGAGAAAATAAATGACATGAAGACCGAAACCAAACTGAACCGAATCGATCCTACATGTTTAAGTAATTACTAATTAGTCCCTACCCTATATGTTAAATGTTGATATATTTTATTTGTGTCTTGTTTGAAGTTTGAAAAAAAAAAAGGTTATTTATAATAAAACTAAAAGCGTAAAACCAATACAAAAATAATACAATGGTACAATATTTAATTCAGTTTTGTACAAATTTAAATATATATTAACAAAAAAGAATAAGTTTTGCATAAAAAACTAATCAATTTAAATATATACCTCGATTTTGCATAAAAACTAAAAGAAATAAACTTAAATATAAATAGATAATTTAGTTTAAAATTTATATATAAACTTACTAAACCGACCCAAACCACCCCTTCATGTTTGGGTTGATTTTGCTTTAGGGTTGGTCGATTTCGGTTTAGTCAATAAGTAAACCGACTAGGTCAAGTCGGTTGAAGATAATGACTCAAACTAACCCAACCCGACCTGTAAACACCCGCAAGTTGGAGCCCCAATAGGGATGGTTAGATTACATCTTTACTTGGGCTTTTTTTTTTTCAAGTGCACTATAGAAAAGTACAATTGAAAAGATTAAAGTTGAGGTTGAACCCCTAAAGGGTTGGGTTGGGTTCAGAAACTATATGTCATTATGTCAGGTTTGAGTAGAAACATTAGAGGATTAGGTTAGGGTGAAGGTAAAACCATATTGATCCCAATTTGTATTTATTTTCCATTATTTTAAAATTAGATTTAAAACAATTTTAAATTAGTAGTTTTTTACTTTTATTCAATTTTAATTTATTTAGTAAATTGTTATCGATGTGTAATTCATGTTATGATATTATGCTAAATTTACTATTGTTTAAATTTATTAATAATGTTAGAATTTGTTATTATAAATTAAGTGTGAAGAATAACATTAGTTATTTATGTGTTTATTATTATTATTCTAAAATTTATTCTTATTCTAAAATTAAATTTGGATTAATTTTAATTTCTTATGTTAATTATTTTTAAATGGAAATCAAATGAACACTTTTATGAATGAATAACATTAGTTAACAAACTAATTAATTTTGCAAAGAGAAAATTGAAACATTGATGTACACGTACATATATGTGTGTGTTCTCCAAAATTTTGGAAAATTAAAATAGATAAATAAAAACAGCATACATGGCTCTATGTGTTTAGATGAGACCTGTTTGAAGTAAACATTTTTCTTTTGGTAACAAAATTAACAATTTTTCAGGAATGAAGTTAACCATTTTTTTTTTTTTGTTAATGGATAGACTTGAATTTTGAAGGTGGGTTTACCCACACTCACTTTCCTAATTTTTGTGGGCAAAAAAATTGGAGATTATCATGTTGAGATGGCAGGCATAGAGGCCATCTAACGTGGCATAATATTAATTTAGTATATTAGTAGTATTTATTTACATTTGATATATTATTTTTAATAAATTTCAAATACAAAAATAAAAACAACTAATTTCAATTAGAGTTGTTCATCAAACTGATGAAACCGACCAACCCAACCCAAACGTCCCAACCCGACCTGACTTGGTCGGTTTTCTATTATTTCCAATTGGCTTTGGTTCAACAATTTTCCAACCTAATCAGGTTGGGTAAGTTTCAATTTACCATTTGTAAATCGACCAAAATCGAACCAACTCAACCATAGATATATATTAATATTTTATATTTTAAATATATTTTTTAATACAAAAAGTGGAAAATTCCCATGTTTCTTAACCTAAAATGTTTTATATTAGTCAATTTTGAGTGACCAACTCCCCAACCTGACCAGGTCAATTTAGTTGGCGAAATAGCCTACAACCAAAACGAACCAACCTGTGGACACTCCTAATTTTAGATAAATTAATAGTCTAATTTCTAGTAAATAAAAATAGTTTAATCTCCAATAATTATTGAAAATTTATAATAAAAGTACACAATTATTGAAAATAAATTTATAATAAAAATATAATAAATAACTAAAAAATACAATAATTACAAAAAAATACAACACATATTAAAGATATATAAAATTAGTCAATAATTAGTGTAATCTCAAATAGTAGTTTAATCTTTAATAAATATTAATCAATAAATTATAACAAATTAAATTTTAAAAAAATAATAATAATAATTTAATCTCCAATAATTATTAAAATTTTGTTGTTAAATAACAAAACACAAATAAGTTTATACATAATTATTGCAAATATATTTATCACAAAAGTACAATAAGTAGTTACTGAAAATACAATAAATATTGATTTTAGTATATGTATATATATAATAAATATAAATTAACATTTTAAAATTATTATTAATAAATATTGACTTTTTTTTAAAGCTATTTTCTAGGATTATTAGTTGATATAAGTGAAATTAGTTATTTACAATACCATTTAGTTATTTAAATAATATAATTATTTATAATTATAATTTATACTATTATTACATTTTTTTAATTTTCTAAAATATTAAATTATTATTAGTTTGAATATTATGAAATCTATTAAAATTATTTTTCTACTTTTAGTAAATTTATTACATCATTTCGTTATTTTAACTACGTAAAATTTAGTTATGTTAAATATTTAATTATTTAAATAATATATAAATAATTTAATTTTTTGTATTTATTTTAAAGTTATTATGTAATATTAAGTATTTTGTTATATAACTATTTATCTATTTATAATATTTTTATTTAAGATATTTATTTATTGAAATATTTAAATAATATTTTATTTGTTATTGTTAATTTTTATTATTTGAATAATGTTTAAATCGAATAACCGATAAAATTATAATTTATATTGTTAGTACATAATTTTGTAAAAATATAAAATTAGTAATAACATGAGTACTATCAAATCTATTATAATTATTTTTTGTGTTTTAAAAATATTTTAAAGATATTATATAGTTTTGTTATAATATTTAAATAATTCTTAAATTTGTTTCAAACTTTTTTAGATATATATAAATAAAAAGTATGGAAGAGGATAAATAAGAATTCGAGATAGAGAGAAACTCTCTACTAAATTAGAGATAATTTAGGAGATAAATAGGAGATAGAGATAGTTTAAGAGATAAATATGAATTATAGATAAATTAGGAGAAAGTAGGGGATAGTGGTGCAATTTGGCTAGATATTAGAAAAGCAAAATTTTCTTTCTTTATCTAGTTGTTAGAGATAATTTAGCCTATGTTGTTTCATTATTGGTTTAGTGAGTAACTACTTGGCAAATAAATTAAAAATTCAAAAAAAGGAAATTAAGAAGGGGGTTGGAGCAAGGAGAGGCATTATGACGTGAATAACCTTGCTTTATATATAAGATAAATAAATTAGCAATAATTTATTTATTTTTGTTAAAAAATATTAATATAATTAATCTAAATTATTAAATTAATTATTTTAAACAAGAATGTAATTATTAGTTGAAAATTTAATTCTCTACTAAATTAATAAAAAAATTAATTAATCCAATTTACTAAATTAGTAGAACATTTTTGTAACAAATTATTAAAATGAAAATTTAATTATTTTAAACAATATTACATTTTTGTTATAAGTTTTGAATATTTCAGTTTCCTTCATAAATTCCATATTCCGTATGGGTCCCGTTCTCGATGCACGATGGGATGTGTCTGTGAGGTCGTTGTGAGGCGCTAGAGGTGTAAAGTGGGCCATGTCGGGTTGACACGGCACGGCCTGCAGGTGGCTCGTGCAAAGTGCGGGCCGTGATGTGCTGGCCCGCAGGCCGTCACAGGCTGCGCCGCCCTCCCTGGTGAAAATTTTGGGGGTCGGCTTGACACGGCCCAAATTAGGCCATGGACTGGGCCAAAGCTATTTTTGCCTATTTATTTAAAAAAATTGAAAAAAAACTTAAAATTTTAATTTTATATGAATTTTGATGTATACAATTACTTATATATACAATGATTAAATAAATTAGTATAATAAAATTGAAAAAAATATTTATTTTATTAATATATTATATACTATATATTATTATATAATTATAATTTATATAATATATTATATATTATATTTATATATTATATAAATATTATGTATATATATAATATATAAGTAGTATATATGTCGTGCCATGCCGACCCGTGAACTTCAAACCCTAGACCCAAGACAGCACGGACCATCATACCGGGCCTGGCATGGCCCGTGGGTTGTCGCCCGGCCCGGCCCTTTGGCTAATGGATACTTCACCCCCAAACCCAATAATGAAGAAGAAAGAGCAGGCGTGACGCGAGGCTTCCGCGTAAAAGCAAGCAGAGGAGAGAGGGTGTAGCTATCAAATCAAACAGAACAGACCTGGACACTGGATCATCTTATCAGCTAAAGAAATGCACATCCTTTCTCATCGTCTCCCTCTGCAAAATCCCAGATGTCCTCTACGCTTCTCAGAGGACTCCCTCAGAACCAGTTGCTTTACTTCTATCCTCCCTCCCGTCTCTGCGAAGACTTTCAAGGATCTCTCGGTGAAATGCCGCCGCTCAGAATACTTCGAACAGCAGAGGTTCACGAGACCTTCAGAAGACTCCTCCACTTCACAGTCTCCAGGAGGTGATTGGATCCTCCGAAGTTCTCTATTCTTCATTTCATTTTCTGGGTGCCAGGATTACTGTTTTAGTCTCTGGAGAATATCTGAATTAGTTGTTTATTATTTTGTAGCTTTGCCTCCGAGGGTTTTCGTTGGTCATTCTATATACAAGGGGAAGGCAGCTCTAACAGTAGAGCCAAAAGCTCCAGAGTTCATTCCTTTAGATGTATGTTTGACGTTCTGTTATGTTCACTGTAAGAACGCAGTCCTGGGTTTTACCGTGTAAAAAAAAGTGTTCGGAATTGCTACTAGACTCATATTCCAAGCAAATTTGTTAGTTTCCTACCGTTTGTTGTGTGTTGCAGTCAGGAGCATTTAAGTTGTCGAAAGAGGGTTTTGTGCTTCTCCAGTTTGCTCCTGCTGTTGGGGTTCGACAATATGATTGGAGCCGAAAGCAAGTAAATTTCCTGTCTTTAAGATTTTGGATGCTTTTCTTTTATAACTTGAAGACACATTTTATACATATGTTGGGATTAAGTGCATTGTTTTAGTAAAAGAATGTCAAATAATGGTGAATCCCGTTTTTTTAATTTTATTTTTATAGAATTGACACATCCCAATGCTTTCTTTATCAGTGGCCAATTGGGAATAATATTGACGTCCATGGGGACGTCATTGAAAGGAAAGAAAAAGCAGTTTTCACCCGGACCCAGGTTTAATTTACCCTTCTACAAGAAGTAGCCATTTCTCTATGTTGAGAAGTCAATCTAATTTGGCAGGTTTCTGAACGAGGTTAGTAGAAGATGAAGGGAAATGAACTATGGGGGTGAACTAGCAGCAAATAGGACTGCTTTGCATTCTGAGGCCTTTGCAGAAAAAGTGTTATCATGCTTTTGTATTGGTAGAGGGGTTTTCTTGAAGTTCCGTCTTCCACTACAAACTTTTTTTTTTGAGTTTCTGTTTTTGGGAAAAAAGATACATTGAATTATTTAAGAAGTTTCAGGCTTTCAGCTTATTTTATAGCACGCGCACTAGTTTTAGTTACTGTATAAATATTGAAGTACTATTTTCCAAAAAATATCATATTAATAATCCCTGATGCTCATTTGTAGCTATGGATATTAGTGAAGTCGAAATTTGAATTTTTAAGTGACATTTAGTGTTGTGACTGCAAAATATTTGTTGTTTTTATTGTCCCGCCCCTTTGCAGCCTTGTTGGATCCCAGCTATCAACTTGAGTCCTACACGTGAAGCCCTTATCAAAATCTTGAAATAGATATTGTATTTAGAAGTTATTATATGCTCAAATTTTGAACATGACATTTTTAGCATGAGCAATTTTCACAAAATGAAAGCTTCTTGTTACAAGCTTCACATGCTATATCTATGCTAATGTTTTTTTCCCTCCTCTAATGCATCTACTGTAATGTGGGGATCTATGCTTCTGATTCTCAATTTTAATAATTGGAACTGTATCAAAGGGGCATGCTCTGGATTTAAACTGCTTATTATACAAATTTAAAAGGTAATCTTTCTATCTTTGTTCATTATTTTTAGGAGCACAGTTGTAAGTTTTCTACTATTATAAGGTTTATTGAAGGATCTCTCTCTCTCTAGAAAGGATTGAAGGATCTCGGTTTAATTTGGCATTATATCATCTTTGGGGGCATTGCTAAGTATTAATTTAGTATCATATTTTCCTGCTGTGTGGTGTCTATGTTGCTTGTTTTATAGAGTTTGACTTTGCATTCAATAATCTACAGTTCAATATGTCATTTCCCTATTGATACTGATGATGGTGTTATTATGTTTGCTTTTGTATAAGTATTCTGACACAACTGGGAGGCTGGTGGCCTTTAATGCATCGTACTTATTCATGTATAATGCTAACTTTGTTTATTTTTACCTATTTAGGTATTCTCATTATCAGTGACTGAAATTGGGACACTAATAAACCTTGGTGCAAGGGAATCATGTGAATTTTTTCATGACCCATTTAAAGGAAAAAGGTATGTTCTTGCACAAATTTGCTGGCCTCAGGCTTGAACCTGCATTCTCACACTTGTCATCCCAAGATTTTATCATTAGAGTATTAGACCAAGTTATTTCTTTTAAATTGCAAATCGGTTTTATTTAATGCAGAAAATATATTTTTCCCTTTTATAAGGCACTAAACTAGATGGAATGGCAAAACAGGATTCATGTAGCCAACCCCATATAGTTGGGATAAGGTTTGGATGATGAAATATATTTTCCCCTTTTATAAACAAATGATGAAATTTTAATTTTAACACTTTATGACTTATCAACCATTTTAGGTTTATGCTGTTGGACTTGAATGGGGGTTCCTGTTAGTCATTGCTTCACAGTGCAGTTGTAGAAAAGGAAACCAGCTTAACTCAGGTCAACAAAGCCTTATCCCAGCTATAGGAAAGAATCCATATACATCCTTGTTTGCATTTTAACCTCCTGCTAGTGTTAGATGGAAATCTTGGTGTTTCTTTTTCAGGATTGTCTAGTTTAACTTATATTCCAAAATCTGTCATCATTCTGAGGCTTTCTCCAAGTAGGTGAAGTTGGTCAAACATGTTTCTCCATTCGCTACTTGTCTAGGACTGCATCTATTACAGAAAACATTTCTAACTTCTTTGAACAATAACAAAGTAGTTTGTGGAAATGACCTTTTCTAACAAGGTGAAGAATGGTTAATAATAATATGATAACTGAATTCAAAAATCAAAACACCTTCAACCATGGGAAAAAAATCTCCTATTGCAGTTGCATATCTATAAATATGATAGATGGATAAACTGGTAAATCAAATAGAATATTGAAATGTTATGCTTCTTCTTTTAATATTGAAGATTTGAGTTGTTACTTGCTATTTCTGATATCCATTTGCACATGTTGGAATTATGGGTGGTTTCATTCAAAACAGTTGTGTTATTCATAGTAATAAATTGTTTGCACTTTACAGATGCGTCTCATTGTAATTGCTTGGCATCTAACACTAGCTGACATTTTTTTTTTGCCATTGGCATCCCAACGCTCTTTGTCCAAATCTTCATAATATCTTGTGAATTTAGACCACATACACCCTTTTTTCCCCTTCTTTTGATCAGTAAAAACATGGACTTTGATCATTACAATTACCATTACTAAAATGAAAAATTGTTCTTTATGTTTTACTTTTCTCTTGGAACATGGCATTTTACTACAACATATCCTAGCATTTTTTTTTTATGTTGTTATTCAGAATAAACTCTATATTTGAATTATAGAAAGATCCTGCTCCTTTTGTAGGATTGCAATTGCTTTTTGATGAGTTTTTTTTGGTTATTCTTCAACTATCTAGTAAAGTTAATTTCTTTTGCAGCGAAGAAGGAAAAGTTAGGAAGCTTTTGAAAGCTGAGCCCCTTCCAGATGGTTCTGGCCATTTCTTTAATCTCAGTAATCTCTCATTTCTGAAATCTTTATTCCAATTCTTAAATGGATGTTCACTATTTTTTTGGCTTTTTTATTGTGTTTTTGGGTGGCTGCATTGTATTTTCTCTCCTTTTTCCTATTTAATGGAATATCATCATCCTCAAGATCAATTTAAATTTCTCAAATGCTGATATTAGAGTTGGCCCTCCTCAAGGCTCTGGCATTAATAGCATAGTTGTCAAGGCGACGCCTAGGCGACAAGGTGCCCTTTGAGGCTCGCCTCACCTAATCGTCAAGCAGTTTTATACTATGTATTGTAAAATACTTTTTATTCTTTATTTTTTGACATTATAATTATAAAATAGGCACTATTAAACTAAAATATTCATTTTGTGTGTTTATATACTAATTTCTTTTTATTATTTTCTTATTTGTTAGGATTTAATCAATACAAACATTGCTAAATGCTGTATTGAACCCTCAAAGACTTTAAAACCTGAACCAATAAGTAACTGCAATTTGACTCCTAAATGTAACCCTAAATACATGGTTCTATTCAGGTTGGCATCTCACTTGTGAGATTTCCCAGGTTGAGACTCATCTCTTCTTTCTTCATGCTAATCGTTTTTATCTTATGTTAAAATCATACAATGTACTATTTGTAGGCCATAGCTTAAGTAGATATTCAAATAATAGGTGTTGGATGATGCTGATCCAATAAATAACATGTCATTATGCAAAAGCTAGTTCACCATGAAATCTTTTCCAAGCATGGATGGATGATCAGTATCCATATCCCAGCACCTTTTCCCTGGTGTTGAAGAGCTGAGAACTGAGTTCCACTTGGCAAGGTGCCAACCAGTGGGTTGGTAAGGTCTGCTGCTGGTTGTAGCGGAGACATGGGATCGAATCCTGCCTGCACCTGGGTTGGGGGGGGGGGTTAAGGGTTGGGGGATGGGCTACCCCCCGTTGTGTGTCCCTTCAAAAAGACATCAAAAAAAAAAAAGAGCTGAGTTCCACTTGTCATCATTGTGGATTTAGTCAGCTTGTCAAGGCAACAACTTTGATCAACTGTATTAAATCCAAAAAGATTGTGGCCTTGTAGGCCAGTTTATATTATTGTTTTGATTATTTTTTATTTGGTACTTTGATCTTAAATAAAAATCATATATTGTTTATGATGCTTAATATCTCCACCATTGCTCTAACCTCTTCCTCCTTTTATTTTATTGCATTTGTTGAAGGTGTCCAGAATAAGCTCTCTAACATTGATGAGAGCATTTATATTCCTATTACCAAAGCGGAGTTTACAGTTCTAATCTCAGCCTTCAATGTATGTTACCCCTCTCTCTCTCTCTCTCTCTCTCTATCTATCTCAAATGCCTTTTTCTTTTTCCTCCTTGCTGTAATTACATAGAAGAAATGATTGAAATACTTGCATTTGAAAAGATATACATAATGATGCAATCTTGTATGCCCTGTAAAAGAAAGATGTCCATATAAAATTGTTCTGACCTGCTTGATTCAACCTCTCCAAATTCCTGGCCTACAACTTGGAAAACATATTTGATGCATGAGCTGGGATTGAGTAGAAATCATGGAGGTGATCATAGGGTTAAGGTTCAATCTTCTAGAAATGTACTGTTCTTAACAAAAACTTAAAGTTACTATTTATCATAAAATTGTGAGTTTTTATTTTTAGTAATTTTTGGTTTTCTAAGAATAGCTTAGGATGTTGTTCTTGTTTTAATGGGTTTGTACGAGATTAGGAGTTTCTTTGGTGTAATACCACTCTAATAGGGCCATTACTCAATAATAGTCCTGGATATTGGTGGTCTTGGGAGGGGTAAAGTGTATATGGACATGACCTTTTACAGTTTTTTGCACAAAGTGGCTGCTGTTACACTTGAATCCATGTTATCATGCTTGTTGGCACCATTATTATACCTAGTAATGGCCTGTGTTGAGTATTCTACTTTTAAGAAACCTATTTTTTCATCATTATGTGTTAGATTTTGTTAAGGAAAGCTCAACTTTGGCTTACCCTACAGCTTTATAAGTCTATTGTAAGGCTTTATATAGGAGATGGAATGAATATAGATCTGATTTGAAGTTGTCTTGTAATTATCTTGTGAGGTACTATATCCCTAATCTCTCTCTCTCATTCACTGATCACTCACTCACTCACTGACTCACTCTATCCATCTATCTATCTCCCCCCTTCTATCACTTTTCAGCTTGTAGTATGCTTTGACCACAGGTACCTCATGCTTCTTTTTGCTGTACCTTATATGGAGCTATTACAGGTTGCATCTGCAACTGCCTTTCCTCTCCTGTTTAAACACCTTCAAAGCTTCATTTTTCCTCTATCCAAACTCACCAGTCTGTCCCCTAAACATACTAGAGCTATTCTATATCATTTCTCAACCTTTTGCTAGCTTAGTTTCCTCTACAACCTAAGAATTTCATTGCTTCTCCATTTGTCCAATCACAGATTTGCACTGAAACCACATTTATCAGGCTAAAAGACTGTTGACAAGGTCCTTTCAGATTCACTTGATTGATCAGATGGTCAGTTCCTTGAATTCTTTCCAAATTATAACCAGTGTTGGCCCAAAAGGTGGAATGTTGATTTTGCAAGTAAGATGAATGGCATAGTTGTCAAGGTGATGCCTAGGCGACTAGGCACTTTTCAAAGAGCGCCTCGCCCAAATGCCAAGAAAAAATGTATTAGGCGCATGCTTAGGGGACTGAAACACATATGTAATATACAATGTTTATTAAATAAAAATAAATATAAAATATATAATATTTTATTGGTTGGTTTTAGTTTTTATAATAGGACATGTTGCATGTTGTCATGTTTTTTGTTGTGAGGAAAGTAAAAACAAAATAATCTCAAGGGTTTCACTTTGACAAAAGAGTCGAACTGAGGAAGAGGAGAGAACAACAGCCCTCCATCATTCCGACACAGTCCTCTAAGTCAAGGTGAGTTAATCAGTTTCCTCCTTCGTTTTGTTCTCTTTTTCCACTGGTTTAAAACAGTGGTTACGCCCCATTTTTCTCCTCTTCCTTTTTGTTGGACTAAAACCATTCTTCTTTCCTGGTTTGAATCATATTATTGGACTAAAACAGGGGCTCCGCCCCCTTCTTTTGTTCTTAAATTTCTTGCGTTTTTTCAGCTTTTTTCCCTCATTATTGGTGTCTGAAACAGGGGCTCCGCCAGTTCTTTTATTCTTAATATTCTTCTTTTATTTTAGTATTTTTTTTTCACCAGCTTTTCTGGGTCTAGAACAGGGGCTCCGCCCCCTTCTTTTGTTCTTAACTTCTTGCATTTTCTAGCTTCTTTTTTGTTCTTATCAATCATCATTGGTGTCTGAAACAGGGGCAGAGCCCCTTCTGATGAATCAATTTTTGGTGATGTATCAATTTTTTGTGCTAAGTACCTCGTCATTTGGTTTGCTTCCAAGTGGTCGATGACTCAGAGGCCGAAGTGAACTTTTGCTGGATGAGGACCTGGATACTGAGCTGACCAGGCCGAGTTGGGGGCAGATTAGGTGCCGAGTTAACTGGGCCGAGCTGGGCAGGTTAGGTGCCGAACTGACTGGGCCGAGCTGGGCAGGTTAGGTGCCGAACTGATTGGGCTGAGCTAGGCAGGTTAGGTGACAAGCTGACTGGGCTGAGCTAGGCAGGTTAGGTGACGACCTGACCAGAGTGCTGAGTTGCCTATTAGTTGCCGAGCTGACTAGAGGGCCGAGCTGCCTGGTGGCAAGCTGGATTGATTGTTGAGCTTCGTAGTTCTTTAGAGACCTGCATGGAATCAATGTCAGAGGACCCGGGGTGGCTAACCTGGCGAGGTCGCTCCGATGCTTAAGTCAGTACTCTCATAGTAGACTGCGAGCTAAAAATCACAAAGTATGAGAGCTAGAATATGCTTACTTGCCCCCCATGCCATTGGGGTTGGTGCCTTTATATAGGCATTGTTTGGCGTGGGCTTCACGCACCGCATCCGAGATTTCCGAGAAGTCGTCTAAGTGGTCCGAGATTCCCTGAGGCAACCGCCATGCATGTTGACCACCCTTCGGATCGTTCGGCACGTGGGCCAACTTCCAAGGATCGTGGGAGTGTTAGGATATGCATGCCGAATTTGTCGGCGAGCACGTCTCGCAGGTCGCCAGGTAGGCGCCTGTGCTAGGCCGCCAGGTCGCGCCTGGGCCAGGCCGCCAGGTGGGACACCATCAACTTGGCTAAGGCAAGTTGTTGCCTAAGTGGTTCCGAGTGTCACCTAGTTGTTTCGAGGTGCCATGTGTCACAATATCATTGGAGGGTCAAATCCGCCCTCATCACCTTCTTTTCTTCTTCATATTTTTTCTTTTTTTAATATTTTTTCACCAGCTTTTCTGGGTCTAGAACAGGGGCTCCACCCCTTACTTTCTTCTTCATTTTCTTCTTTTATTGTAGTAATTGTTCTCATCAAGAAACACTGCAAGAAACACAAGCACAAAAGTAAGTGCAGAATACATAAAACCAAAAAAACTAGTTCAGAAGGGGTAGAAAACCATTGGCTTCTTATTTTTAAATTCCATTGCCTAGGCGCCTAGGCGCCCCATGGTTGTCTAGCCTCACCTTGGCACCTTGAAAACTATGATGAATGGATGTCTGTACCTGCACTGCAACAATCTTGTTTAATGGCCTTTGGGTTTATTCCCTGCTAATTTTTCATGTCATCATTGTGAGGTTGTTTAGAACACTTCAGCCTACATGGAAATTGTTATATTGGTTCTTTCAGTCTTTCTTGTGCTGTTGGTCTTAATTGGTTATGGGCCTTGTGGCCTATGGTGATGCCCAGATAAAATTATACAAATACTGACAAAGGCACTGGCAAAGAAACAGATAATGAATACATCTCCATTTCCTGAAATCCCTGACATTGGATATGGGTATAGGTATCCCATTTAATATGTTTATGTCATGCTTTTATATCTAGTTGCAAAGTTGTCATTTCCCATGACGTGTGTCTGGAGGCTTTCCAATTCAAGATAGATAGATGCTTCTTCATGTGTCATATCAGTTAAATATCATGCTTGACATGGTATGCTTAGGCATGTACTACAGACAGGTATCCAGGTGTCATGTTATAACACCACATATGACATTTTTCATCAGAAAAAAAACCACATATGACATTGACATGGTTACAAACTGGACAGGTATCCAAAGCTGATTTGGTTGTTACTGATATTAATTTTCTGTCATTTGTCTGAATACTGAATTTATTAGTTATTTTGGTCTTATATGAGTATTTCTCATGTTTATTTTTATGCATTAGTCTCAATTCTCGACAGTATTGAACCTGTTAAATCAAACTTGTCCAGTTCTGGTGCTTAAGAGCATGTGTGAGGAGAAATGCCAGGACCTTCAGTATACTGAGAGTCTATTTCAAAGTTCTTGGTGTTATTTGCAGTCACCTTGGCCCTTCCTTGATACTGGATTTTTTTTGGTGTTTTGACTTGTTTGTCTTAATTTTCTTCCACATTTTTATACTATGATCACTTGTCAGAAAATGAACAAAATGTAGAAAGAACAACGTTGATTGGCTTTCATAATATAGTTTGCTTGGTAGAGGGCCCCTTCCTCCCCCAAAAGAAGATGAATGAAAACAAAAAATATTTTATGATTCTATCCCTACTAATTCCCTTCAGGCTCTGTGAACTTGACACTTTTTTCAATTCATGCATTTATGTATTCTTAAGATGTGTCAATCTGCAATTTATATGTGAAGACATGCATTTGACCTTGTATTACGAATATCTTGTATATGTTTTCATTTGCAGTCCTGTCTAATAATTTTGGACCTTATGTTGGATATATGCAGTTTATCTTGCCATACCTTATTGGTTGGCATGCTTTTGCTGATTCCACTAAACCAAATGATCCTGGTCGTGTCAGCAATGCCAATCTTAAATATGGGGCTGACTTGGAGTGGAGCAGATAGTATTCCTCATTCTCTTTAGAAGACAGAAAGAAAGGAACTGTAGGAGACCTTGGAATTCCGATGCGGTCGTCAATTTCCTCATAAATCAATTTATCCCAGTCCACTCCTGGAGAAATCCTCCCAGAAGTTTTGGTAACAGCAGCTAGCTATTAGCAAAGAATTTGGGATTCTACACTATGTAGACGTGAAGTAAAGATGTTGCTCCAAGAATGGAGAGATGACGACCAGCTTGTTGACTGTTAGGTTGGGTTTATAACTTATTGTTTTTGTTTAACAGAGATGAATCTTTTTGATGAGTCCCCTGTTAAAACGTTTCTATTATAATGTATTATGTAGGTCATTATATCCTGTTTAGATCTAATTTGCGAGGAAAGCATTTAATCAAAATTATTCTGCATTGTTGGTTCAGTGAGCAACGGCCGGCTTCACCTGTGGAGGTGTGAGAATGTACTTCACGGAGCATGTCAACCCGGTTTCGCTCATCGTGAAGTAAGTGCATTCATTCAGTCTTCACCGTGCCATCAAGGGTGGGGTGGGGGGTATCGAGGGCCAAAATGTATATTGTGTGGCATCTGCATCCCTAATCCATCTGATTAATTCACCTGCAATCCTATATGGGAGATTGGACTGCAGTTTGACAGCATGATCAAAGCTCAGTGTTAAGAATCCAGGTATCTAAATACACCAAAGGTTTTTAGAGTACCATTCTAACGGCTATTAGTGTTAAGAATCCAGGCCCCAACAGTAATGCCCTTATTGCACCTGCTTAGTACCCGTTTGGGAGGGCTGATTAGGCATTCTAAGTTTTATACTTTTATTTTTATAATAATAGTATGACCATAAATTTGCATGGAATTCTAGGCAAATAATTAGAAACTTAGAATCCCGTTTCCGTATGAATCAACATTACCAAAAAAATGACGCGTTCTTGATTCTTCATAAAATGCTGATCTGAAACACAACCTACCAGATAGCATTTCTTTGATCCCCTCACAAACCACAAGTGAAATGTTTTTTTTTTTTTAATAAATAAGTATAATATTGGTTGTAGTTGGAAATAAAAAAAAAAAAGAAAAAAGCTATCATTGATCAATTGTGCGCGAGATGCCTGAACCAACCAACCAAAAAATATAATAGTATGAATGAATGCGCCACATCTGCCTTCTTAAGCCACTCATTGTGCAGTTCCACACTTCCATTGCCCTGTCATGAACACTCCTTGCAAAGGTCCAAGGCATTGTGTTGCCACTTCCTTGGGCACAGGAAAAAGTCCTTCAAGATAATCTTCTAGTTCTAGGTGATACTGCCAAATTGTAGGTAGAAAGGAAATTAGTAGGTCTTTAACTTCTTCCCTTTTTGGAGATAGAGTGAAAGCTGCAGCTGCTTTTGTGCCTTTGTCAAATATAGCTCTACTACAAACTTCTTAAGGCACTTCAAGGATGCCTACTTGTATATGAAAACAGTTTAGTATGTTTTTAGGTGGGCAGAAAAAAAGTTTCCTAATTGAGTCAAATGGGTAACTTCCACACACAACACCGCCCATGTCTGCTACATCAAGCATTTATGTCACTGATCTAGGCTACTCCTGCATAGGGTTCCAGCTAGATTGTTCATGTGTTCAAATCTATAGTCCATATCAGGCTTATCGGCCCACACCCATCCCAGTTTTGTATTGGAGGTTTTTGCACAGTCGATAATAGACATCCATACGTTAAAATATTTTAATATAAAAGGTGTCAACAAAAAAGGGTAGGGTCTATTACTTTTATTTTGTATATGTGGCAAGATCTCCAGGATGAAATCTTTTCCATGAACAAAGGATGGAGAGAGAGGAATATGAAGATCCCTTCTGTATGTGGAAGATTCCTAGGTCATTGAAGGAAGCTCGCTAAATGGACCAACCAACAAATCCATCCCCATCTATTATATCTAAATGATCTTCCTAAGAGGATACCACACAAATATGTGCGACTGGTTCCCTGTCATCAAATACTTTTCCACCTTAAAGTTTGAACTTCCTGTCTTCTCCAAAATTTAGCATCTATGCCACTAGGTCATCTATTTTGCCAATTAAGGCTATTCCTATGCTGTCAACTTAGGTTGGAACATGAGCTCTTGCAATGAGAATCTCATCATCGCCATCATCCAAGCCTTATCTCAACTACATGGGATTGGCTATATGAATCTTGTTTGCCAACTATGTGAAGAATGAAAAATAGCCATAATATCAATTCCAACTTCTCCAAATATATTCAAATCAAGGAAAAACAGAGTAAAAATCAAAGGGACTTGACAGCGCATATATTCAGTTTCAACAAAAGAAATATAAGCTGATATTCTAGCTAAACCTAATACAATTTTCACCCAATAAAAAGAGTTTGGTACAAGGTTGAGGACTAAACTGATAGAGCCAGGAACTAACTTGTCCAATTTGTTTAGGGTTACAAATACATAATTGTTAATTCGTTAGTGCAACTAGCAAAGCTATAGGCCACTAAAGGTGGATTATGGGACGTCAGGAATATTCCATAAAATGCAATAAAATTTCAGATAATAGATCTCAAATTTAACTGCAGGTCAAAATTTTTCCAAGATATGAGTATCAGCATTGAAGAAGAAATATGGAGAATCTCAATAGCTTTTTAGAAAAATGGTGTTGTAGGATGCATGGGGATCAGTTTATGGAACAACGCATGAACAGGAATATTCCATACAATGCATGTGTAGGAACTCATCTTGCAGGTGTGAAATGCAAGTATGGGCCCAAAGCCAAAATTGGAGTACGAAGAAAGGCTAAAAATGGAAAGAGGTCCAGTTTTTATTGCAGTCCATGGTATGATCAAATTAAATGCTCATCTTTTAATTTGCCACTTGCATCCTTTTTGGATGTTCAATCGATGCAAAAACTTCTGGTCATTGCCCAAAATTTTCCAAGTCTATCATATTCTTTTCTTCTAATACCCACAATAGATTTAGAAGGGTGATTTCAAGATTTCTGAAAATCTCGATGGAAAGGAAAAAAGAGAAATACTTGGGTGCTCCCATAATTGAGGGTAAGGTGATAAAATGAGACATTTAAAGATGTAGAGGAAAGGATAGATAAGAAATTAGAAGGATGAAAGAGAAGCACATTATCAATTGCTGGAAGAGTTACCTTGCTTAGATCTACCATTAATATGATGCCTCAATATTTAATGAGGGTATTTAAATTCCCTAAAAATGTAGTGGAAAATATTGAAAGAAAGCAAAAAAAAAAAGTGGAATAAAGGAAAAAGTAAAGGTCTTAATCTTGTTAAATGGGAGCTAATTTTCCATTCAAAGAGAAATGGGGGATGGATTTAAAAAATCTCAAATGGGTAAATGAAGCTAGTATTGCTAAACTGGATTGGAAACTTCTTACCCAACTTGAAAATTTATGGGTCCAAATTCTGAAAATAGATAAAAAATGGGAATTTCTGGCAAGTTAAGGCAAAAAAGTCGATTTCTTGGACTTGGAGAAGCATCCTCCATTTCCGAGATATTCTAAAGAAAGGAATGTGGTGGCAATTAGGGAATGATAAATCCATAAATTTTTGGATAGACAAGTGGTTTGGAGAAAGAGCTTTAGTGAATGAGGATCTAGACTCTCATTCTAACCTCCTTAATATAGTGAATGAATTTATCTCTAATTCAAATCCATGGGACAAGGAGAAAATCTTGAGTAAGGTAAGCCTCAAGCAATGGGACCAAATCAGAGCAATCTCAATTCCATCAAGAGATACAAAGGATAGGACAATTTGAAAATTTAGTCCAAATGGTGAGTATTCCATCAAATTGGCCTACACTCTCTTAGAGGGCACCCTAAGTGATAATGCAGGTGTTAAGAGATTATGCAAAATATGGAAATTGAAATCCCCCTTCCCCAAGTTCAATACTTTATGTATTTAGTTTTAAAAAATAAATTGTTAACAAAATTGCGGTTAAAAAAATTCGATCTTGTTGATAATATTGACTGCTCTTTTTGTGGAAATGATGAAGAAGACCTAAAACACCTCCTTCACAATTGTGAATAGGTCAAGCAGTTTTGGCAAAGATGTAGCGATTTTATCCCTGTGCCCAATCCATAGGAAAGTTGTTATGGTCACACCATCTGGCAGCGCACTGCAGCGCAGTTATAGGCAGCAGCATGCACCGCCCGACACCGCACGACAATGGCACCATGGCGCGCAGCACGCATCGTGCACACGCTCGGCACTACACGGCAGCGGCACCATGAGGCGCGCGCATGCACTGCGCGGTAGCAACATTGCGCACACGCACCGTGCGGCAGCGGCACCATGAGCCGCGCGCACGTACCCGGCAGCAGCAACAGAGCGGGGCCCACACGACAGCTCATAGGGGTGGGCCCACCCTTATCTGGACACATCAAGCCAACTCGCCGCCAGCTTACCTTATCCTTATTTTATCCCTTATCCCTTATCCCTTATCTTTATCTAATCTTATCTTAAGTAAGAGTGAGTTACCATTAGGAGTAGGTAATTAGGAGTTTGAGTTTGAGTTTAATTAGGAATTTTCTTCTGTAATCTCCTATTTAAGGAGCTACGAATTGAAATAAAACATTCAGTTTTCCAGTCAAGAAAAAGGTGAGGAGAGTTCGGGTGGTCTCTTGGACAAATCACCCCAAGGGAGAGTTCGAGTGGTCTCTTGGACAAATCACCCATTCAGTTTCCGCAATAGGGTCTGCACGCAAGGGAAGGCGCAAGGGGAAGCAGGGCTTTCGCACCGTGGACTGACCCGTGACGGGATCCTACGCGCGGGACCATAACAAATTGGTATCAGAGCCAAACGTCATGGGCGATATGGAGCAGTTGTCTTCGAAGGTCCACGAACTGGAACACCAACTTGCAGAAACCAACATGGAGGTTCGTGAAGTCAGGGAAGACGTTCGGGAGATGCGACGCCTGCTGGAAGCATTCCTCTCCAACAAAGAAATGAGTTCGGAGGGAATCGCCAACACGAACAGACGCCATCCGGACTGGGCAGAGGCATGCAGCGAACAACAGATCGCTGCCCCTACAGCCGCAGTTATTACTAAGGATCAGCGCAAGGAGGATGAAACTGTAAGGTCTCCTCCTTTGGCCGGGGACGATGTCACGAACATTATAATAGAACCTGCAGAATGCGCTCCTTTGACGAAGATAGGTGGGCTTGGCGATGTTGCTGGGGCTTTACCGAAGGCCTTGGCTCAGCATGGACATAAAGTTATGGTTGCGGCACCACCGTATGGTAACTATATAGAAATCCAAGAAACAGGAGTGCGCAAGAGATGTAAAGTGGAGGGGCAGGATATAGAGGTAATTTTCTTCCAAGCTTATATTGATGGCATAGATTTTGTGTTCATGGACAATCCTATGTTTTGTAATATTGAGAAAAATATATATGGGGAAGGCCGAGAGGATATTTTAAAACGCATGGTTCTCTTTGGTAAAGATACTCTTGAGGTCCTCTACTGTAAGCATACCCGGTGCATTCTTATGATCCACAACATAGCACACCGGGGTCGTGGTCCAGTACGTGATTTCTGTTATGTGGATCTCCCACGAAACTACTTCAAACTATATGACCCAGGAGGTAGGGAACACTTCAATGTCCTTGCGGCTGGCTTGAGTGCAGCAGAACGTGTAGTCACTGTAAGCCATGGTTACGCCTGGGAGCTGGAAACTAAAGAAGGTGGCTGGGGTCTGCATCAAATAGTCCAGCGTTATGCACTGAGAGATGGGGCAGTCCCTGTTGTTCATACTGTTGGTGGACTGAGAAATAGTGTGCAGCTGTTTGATCCATTCGCAAAATCCCAAGCCATGTATCTGGAACACGAGCTTGAGGACAAGCTCGTAATCCGGGAGGGGTGTAATGTTATGGTCACACCATCTGGTAGCGCATTGCGACAGTCATAGGCAGTAGCACACATAGCAGCAGGCACCGCCCGACACCATGGCGCGCAGCACGCACCGCCAGGCAGAGCGTGCACCGCACGCACTGCACGACAGCATGCACCGCGCACACGCCCGGCACCGCACGACAGCGGCACCATGAGGCGTGCACACGCACTGTGCGGCGGCGGCACCATGAGCCGCGCGCACGCACCCGACAGCAGTAGCAGAGCAGGGCCCACATGACAGCTCATAGGGGTGGGCCCACCCTTATCTGGACACATCAAGCCAACTCGCCGCCAACTTATGTTATCCTTATCTTATCCCTTATCCCTTATCTTTATTTTATCTTAAGTAAGAGTGAGTTGCCATTAGAAGTAGGTAATTAGGAGTTTGAGTTCAAGTTGGAGTTTGAGTTTAATTAGGAATTTCCTTCTGTAATCTCCTATTTAAGGAGCTACGAATTGAAATAAAACATTCAGTTTTCCAGTCAAGAAAAGAATGAGGAGAGTTCGGGTGGTCTCTTGGACAAATCACCCATTCAGTTTCCACAATAGGATCTGCACGCAAGGGAAGGCGCAAGGGGAAGCAGGGCTTTCGCACCGTAGACTGACCTGTGACAGGATCCTACTCGCAGGACCATAACAAAAGTATTGAATGTTGGTGGGATAGTATTGCAAGTATTGATCCAAAGCATAACTCAAAGCTCTCTCTAGAAAAAGCTAGTATAATCATGTGGAACTTATGGAAAAGGCGAAATAACAAGGTTTTTAATAACAAAAACGATCAAGTATTTAGTAAAGTCAAAAGAGATTTTGAAGAATATTTAGTTGCTTGTCAACCGTTACCCTCAACCAACTCAGTGGGGAAGAAGGATAATTTAATCAAATGGACTTCGCTGGATAATGGTTGGGTCAAGCTCAATTTTGACGCCTCTACAAATCAAGATGGCATCTCAGCTGTTGGAGTTATCATGAGAGATGAATGGGGTCAAATTATGTGGGTGACTTGTAGAAACATTAGAGAATACTCGATAAATAAGATAGAAACATGGGCAGCTCTTGAAACCCACCATATTGCATCCAAATTTCCTCAGTACAAATATATCATAGAAGGGGATTCTAGCATTGCCATTGACTACCTTTGTGATCGTTTGGTACCTCCATGGAACTTCTGCAATCTCATCAATGAACGTCAGCACCTCAGACTCAGGTTTGAGCTTAACATCTCTTATTCTCATGTGTTTAGGGAAGCAAATTTTGCAGCAGATCGATTGATAAGCTTGAGTCACACGTTATCCTTCTCTGGCCCGAGGCTTGAAGATCATTTTACTAATCGTCATGTTTCTTTGTGTCTGTATGCCTTTTTTGTTGTAGTTATTTTGTTTCCTCCCATTTAAAAAAACAGAAATACACGGAACCCATACTGAGAGGTTGAAGGGTTGTAAGCCCCACATATTTTATGACTAGATGGAGTGTTATTATTGGTTCCACAGACTGAATAACAACTATTCAAGAGATGTACATGTAAGTCTAATTCGATTAAATTATCATTACAAGAACGGATAAAATTATATAAATGCCCACGTTCTTACTTCTTTTTTATTATTAATCTTTCTTTTATTTTTGAACTTTAGACACAAATCAGCAATAGCAAAGTGTTTGAATGTGAGAGTATCGCCAACGAATAGACTAGGGTGAATTTGCTCTGTTTTTCCTGGTTTATGTCCAAAGCCCGAAGGTAAAAGAAGGATGATCAGTGAAAAAAAAATCAAAATATGAGTGTTTTTATAATTTTACCCATTATCATAATATTACTTTAAAAAGTTGTGACTTAACGTATATTTCTGAAAGTTCAGGTCATAAAGTTGTACACAAGGTTCAAAGTATCGACACGTATTGGCTCGTACCGATCGATACATATCATTCCGGGACCCCTTTGATATGCCCCTACAGTGAGTGTATCAGAAGTTTGACTGGTTCAGGGTGTGGAGGAGGCCTAAACTGGCTCCCCTGAATTAGTTGTAGAAAAAAAATAGAAAAAAGGCACCAAAAGCTGTATTGGTTCGCCCGATATGCCCATATCGATGTATCGAGTGTAGGGGTGGCAACGAGCCGAGCTTTTCACGAGCTATTCGAGCTTGGCTTGTCTTGGTTTCAGCCGAGCTCGAGCCTAATTCAGTGGCTCGATTGTTAAACGAGCCGAGCTCGAGCCTAGTAGAGCTCGACTTGTGAGGCTTGCGAGCCGACTCGAATATATATATTTGATATTTAATATATATAATAAAATTATAGAAAATAATATAATACAAATATTATAATTATTAATTATTATAATTCTTAATTTTTTAAATATAAAATAAAAAAATGTATATATAATTTTTATTTTTATAAAATACAAAATGAGCCAAGCCGAGCCGAGCCGAGCTCGAGCTTATGAACTCTTGACTCGAGCCGAGCTCGAGCTTATGAACTCTTGACTCGAGCCGAGCTCAAGCTTATGAACTCTTGACTTGAGCCGAGCTTGAGCTTGAGCCTTGTAGAATAGTCTCGAGCCGAGCTCGAGCCTGGTACTATTCGGCTCGGCTGAGCTTGGCTCGGCTCGAATCCACCCCTAATAGAGTGTATTGATATTTTGAACCTTGGTTGCACATTTGAAAGTCATGCGCTAATGTGAGACTGTGTTTATTTACGTTGCAAAAACAAATATGTACCATTCAAAAAATTCTCTCTAACCGGTTCACGAAAACAAACTAGTTTAATTTTGTATTCCAACCAAATGGTTTTTAGTTGTAATGAGCACAAAATACGGATTTCAAAACTGAAATTCACGCTTTTTACATTAACTAGCTATGAGTGCAAAGTTTGTATAAAAAATTGATACAAATTTTGTATCAATTGTGAGTACACACGTCTTCAAAGTTGTGATTAGTGTCATTATCAATAGTTCAATACACAAATATATGCTCATTAAACATTTGCAAAACTAAACGAGTACATTTATGTATCGAACTGGCATTTAACACCACAAATAAATGCAGCCCAAAGTAGGGGATACCTATATGCAGCTTACCCTTTTATTTGTAACAAAACCATTGTAAAAGAGATGATGAATTACTACAAATACTTGATTCATCCTTTTCATTAGCTGTTTGCCAGAACAACAAAGTTTGAAAACCGTTGACACCGGAGAATAACCTGTTATGTTTTACCCAGGCGTTATAACAAAAGGACTTTTGTTCATTCTTCAGTCCAGCACAAGAAGTTTCATCGTAAATGGGATAATAATGATCTTAACAGGTAGAGCTGTTGAAACACTCTTAAAAACCTAACGAATGGATCGGTGGATTTTCTAGAATCTAGGGAGGTAATTGATATAATGACATTGTGTGATGTTGTGTTTGGGGTTGAAGCACTCTATGACCAGTGGGATCTCATTTGAGAACTATTATGGGTTGCCATATTTATTGGTTTAACCCCAGAGAGATTGAGTTCGGCTTCAGTACTATGTCCTTTACTTCTTGCATTGAGAATATCTCCGTATTATGTGATTTTTTTCTTGGGGAGATATTCCCAATGCAAGATTGAGAGAGGCTGTTAAAACAGTGTGGGCACAGGTTTGCCCTGATGGAAGCCGATCTCTTATAATCCCAAGAGATCTCTTATTTGAAGTCCCGGTCGACAGACAGAACCGTCTTGAAGTGATTAGATTTGCCCATTGCTGTTTCCTTCTCTAGTTTTCTTTTCCCGTGATTTTTCAGATTTAAGTACTTCGATACATAATATGATTAAGTATTAAACTCTCAACAAATTCAAACTATTAAATCTTGAATGAAATAATAGTTTGTTATTAGCGTGGAAGGATGATGCATTGAGCCATCGAGTGTGAAAAATAAAACTTACGTCGCACCCTAATTAACCTGTAAGAAGCTGCGTAATTCTTAACTTCAACCCATGTGGTAACACAGGCTATTCTGGTTTCGAACAAGATAGAAACGGACATGAATAAGCCAGCAATGCCTTTTAGCCCGACATTTTCATCTTCATATATATTCTCTCTCAACAATCATAACTAACATTAAAACATTTACAGATCCTTAAAATCCTTCGAGTTCCGAGAGATGCTCCTTTTTGACATTGACACATGATGCGATATATAACCACCTTTTTCCTATACAAGAACTCAAATATTGCCTTTCACCATTTACCATCAACTATTTGAGCCAAAGAATGAAATCAAAGCAGAATATGCATAGCTCAAGCCTTGAAACCACCAATGTTACAGACTTGACAGTTGCTGAACAACAGTAACAATTCTCTGGTTTTGCTAGATGAACGTGCACTCAGCCATCAGATCCATCAGAGTGAAGTTGTGGTTCCCAAAACTTGTAGGGCTGGTTATCCTCTTGTGAAGGAACTGGACGAGCAGCATTGGTGTAATCCCTAAAGCATAGCAATCCTGCTGCTCGACCACAGCTGGCAGTAACCATCTGAAACCCATTCACAGCCGTTGCCGAGCACCCAATACCTGGGACTGATTCCTCGGTCATACAACATGCCAATGAATTTGTTTGTTTACCTGTTTCGCTATCCCAAACCTTTACGTAGAAATCCTCTGGACCAGAGGTGACTATTTTATATGGATCCATGTGTATAAATTGTACAGGACCCACATGTCCATCCAATTCAGCCACTGGCTCTGGCTCCTCTTGGTTTTTCCGCACATCCCATAACAGGGCTCTGTAAAACATGAAAACATGGAAGTTAGAAATTCTTAAGATCACCTTGAGATTTTTTCCCCTCAATCTGCAATTGTTGTCAGTTAGAAACTTTGCGGTAGCACATAAAACGAGTTAAATCTAATAAGGTGAATCTAGTAAATTCTCGAAGAACATTCACAAACATGGCTGATATTGATGTGGATACAAGCACAACCCTATGCATCTCACATAGAGTCCCTCTGGTAAACATGAACATATTTAGATGGCTCAAGTCTGTAACCATCCAACCAATAAATGACTGCCAAAGCCCATTTCTTCATTTACATTTAATATCAGATTTTAAGATGGCAAAAAAAAAAAAAAAATACTTCACTAGGAGAGACTGAACGAAACTAGATTTTCAAGTTACAAATAATAAAATGAAGAATGAATATTAGATTCCCACAGAGTCATTGCCTTTGACAAGAATTCAACTATAAATGAGTTAGACAGATCCTTACTAGGATATCTAAAGATGCATAAGTTGACAAATGACATTTTTGTAGGCAAGGCAACTACTTTTTAATATGCAGTTATTTAGTAATTCAAACAGCTTAAGTACCTCCTTTAGGGAGAACCATATATTTAAGAAAATCTTAATATGAAATAAAACAGAAAGAAAGCTAAAAAGCTAGTCTTACTTGTAGTTTCCACCTGTGCAGATCATGTATTTTGAAGGCAGCATCTCAAATGAGTACAATTTTGGGCGATGAACTGCTGCTGTGAAAACTTTTCTCATTGTTCTCAGGTCAATTGCTGTAACGAAGGCACCAGCAGCTATATAGCATAATGATTCATAACATTTTATACCAACAGGAGCACCAGCTACAGATGTCATTCCCACACAGCATGAAGAGTGAGCAGCAGATGATACAGTTGTATCCCAAACCCTCACCTATTTCATCTAATGGTTTCAGGATCAAACAAAATTAACAGTAATATTGATCTAACTAGAAGCAAGACTAACAACAAAATGGTAGAAAAATTCAAGGCACCGATTCAAGCATTTTTTTTCTTCATGGAATCATTGAAGCCTCCAACCCTCCTAGGAACTATTCCTTGTACTCTCAAAAGACAAGAATGAGCAATCTTCCCACTTTTATATGGAGTAATATTCCCAAAGGACAAATCAACAAATCAAACATCTTTATGTACTTGGCAATATACACTCAACATGAGCACAAAAATTATGAAACCTAAGTAGAAGCACAATCTAGATTTCAGGAAGCAATTGGAATAATTGAAGCAGAACGCCATGTAAGAGGCAGTTAAAGGCAATTTCTCAGTGAGCATTAACAGAGGTTGATGCTCCAAAAGTTGAAAAGGTCCTTGGTGGTGTTCATACTTGCACCGGCTTTTGTTGGGTCCTGCACAGTCAACTTCTATGATCTTCTAGATAGAGACAATATGCTATGAAAAACTATCAGCTTGATTTGTCTTTTATATAATGCACTCATACTCTTTTTTTGGGTATTTTACACTGTATGAAGCAATTGCTTAGACGAATTCTCAATTTATTTTACAAGACAAATGGATAGAAATATTGGATTATTTTCTATCTTCATCACTAGAAAAACTATGTGATAAATTAGCACAAAGCTCATCAAGTATAACTAGGATGCAACTATGGGTTGTTATCATACCTTTGCATCTTTTGAAATGCTCAGAAGAAGAGAAGCTTTGTGCCTAGAAACAAAATACTTGCAGGTTAACCTCTTGATAAAAACCCAAGAAAATTAATAAACCTATTCAATATGAAATGTCGATGAATGGTATTAGCTTTAAACTATTCATATCTCCATCTCAAGTTGAACAGAAACTGTTATATAGAACATAGACTACTCATTATTCAGGAAAAATTGAGGAAAAAGATGAGGAAAAAAGTGACATGTAAAAGAATGACCAGAGAAGTGAGCTTGATCATTTAGGGGCTGTTTGACAACAGCTGAAATGGATGAACTGAATGACTTGTTGCTTTATCTTTGAGTAGATAAGTTATTGAGGTTGAACACTTATTGGCTGAAGCTCAAGTTGGGTTGATTACTAGGATGCAACATAGGTGGGGCTCGGATTTAAGTATCTGCTAAATTTTGAAAGAGTGAAAAATCTTCAACTCAGTAGAATGACTTGCACCTGTATTTGATTACTATACCCTTGCATATATACATATATATATATATATATATATATTTGATCAATAACAAATTCATTAATTCAACATGAAAATAATTACAAAGAGGAAGACAAACACTCTTATCTTCCAAATACAACTTGAGCCCTCAAGAAGAAAAGAAAAGGGAAAAAAAAACAATAAAATTACAATTTAGCCCAAAACATTGAATCCCTTTCTACCCCTTGTTTAGCTAATCCATCAGCTAAAGAATTAGCTGATCTTTTAACCCAATACCCTTGCATATTTAATTCATTTAATTATATTACACATAAAAGGCAAAACAATGTCTTCTAACCTTGGCTCTTATATGCGACAAATTACAGTTAGGTGGTAACATATGGATGTGCTATTGACTAGTTTCTTACTAGTATCCATGAGAGAAGGTCAAAACAGAGGGATAAATTGAAGATGGAAGGTTATGGGACTGTGGTGATGTTGGTCAAAGAGCTGTTATGGGGATGGAGCCTTTCAAGTCTCAGCAAGAGAAGAAATGTATCTGGTTTTCTATTCCTGCAGCTGTACTTGGAACTGTGTGGGCTGAAAGAAATTGAAGACAGTTTCAGCAAACTCCAAGAAGGTAGATGAGCTTATCTCCATGTCCTTTGGTAAGCTGGTGTCTTGGGTTTCTGTTGTAAAGGAGTTTCAGCATTAGAATCTGGCTATCTTGCTGAGTTCCAAGAGTCTTTGGGAGTTGTAGTAGTCTGGTTGCTTGTAGTGGGGGTGGGTTCCAAGCCAGGGTGGTGTTCTTGGGGGCCCTGTTGTACTATGTCTTTGTGATTTGCTCTAATAAAATTTTACCTTCTTCAAAAATAAAAATGAAGGTGGAGAGTAATCAATGAAAGTAATCAGAATGTATTCATTCCATTTCATGCACTATGTAGTGTGTTTTATATATAAGATTTTGTGATTTAAAAGAACAAACTTACAAGAAATTCAATTAGGAGAAACCAGAACTATAGCTAGAATCTTAACTCAACAAAGTTATTCAGGTCACCAGAATGTAGGAAAACCACAATATGAAAAGAAATATGGATTTGATGAATAAGGTTAATGTACATTTGAGAGAATTTATTAATGTATCATTGAAGGAATTTTAGGTCTGGAATCAGGATAAAAGAATAAATGACCACAGCTATTTATTAAGAGATGAGATAAATAAGCCAGAGTTAAGAGAAAGAGACCAGAGGGATATTTAGAAGTCAAAGCTACCCTTCTTAAATTGTAGATCATGTTCACCATAACATTCAACCCAAGGACTTCAATAGAGTCGGCACTTATGTAGAAGTAGTAAGAAATGATTTAAATGCCAAAAATTTAACAATGGATATGACATTAAACAGAGCGGACTGTTGAAACAGGACTCATGGCCTGTTTGATCTTTTGTGCTATCAACTTTAATCATTCAAACTTCAGAAGAATCTAGGAGTAGGAGCACTAGTAGATAACTCCTAGAAAAGAAACAACTTTTTTTCTATATTTTTTCTGTGCTTAATAAAGTTTGAAAATAAGAGATAGAATTCTCCCCAACAAATAAAAACTAACTAATTATGGCATGGTACTGAACTAGAAACTATATCCTTTGGTGTCGATGACCAAGATCAAACAGCCACTATTACTGATCAAAAAACAGAACAGCCACTGGTAAGTCTAAGGATCATTAAGATTCCTATATAAAACTAAAGAAATATCATACTATCCTAGAGAAGACTTCTCCAGGGTGTTTGGCTTCTTAAGAAACTATTTAGATCACATGTGGAATCTCTGTTGGTTTGCTTACAGCTTCCTGGTTAGTTCCCTATCTTTGAGAAGATACAACTCATCTCCTTTGATTGATTTACCTATATTATCCAAATACAACAGTCATGGCTAGATGGTGTAGGATATGGCATTTATGCTAAAAATTGAATTATCCAACACTGATACAACACTCTTGTACAGGTATATGGGAGTCATGGATTCCCATGTAAATAGATGTTTGCATTGATACAGAATTCTAGTGAAAAAGTATCTTTACATGAGAGTACCCAACTGAATGATGCAACAGCCACAGAATTAAGAATAGCATATCACAAGAAAAACATTGGTTGTTTGACAAAAACAGTCTGGGATGTTTTCCAGCTCTCTGCACGACATATTACCTAATTCAGGTCCTTATTTATCTTTTTGACTAAAAGAATATTAATTGAAAATATTCTTTTACCCACACTCAAGATACCATGTCATGTGCAGGAGCCTCCCAAAAAAGCCAAAGTTATCCCCTAATGACCTGAATACTTCCTTAGCTGCCAAGAATAAAACAGTAGAGTCAAATTGAACTGTCATAAGAGGAAATGTTCCTACCCAGCAACTGACAGCAATGATATAGGCTTTTCATGCCCATGAAATGTAGTTCTTAAAGCATGCTGGCCGCGTTTACCACTTGATGCAAGGGACCAAAGACGAACTGTACCATCTTCACCTCCACTTGCAAGTAGTTTTCCACTATAACCACCCAGTAATTTTTCTGATAGTGTTGTAACCGGTCCATTATGTCCTCTGAAACACCGTTGGCAATGACCCTACAATTTAATTATGTCACCAAGTAATTTCAAGGAGGAAGCACATGAAATACAAATGAAAGTCATGCAACTTTCTTTACAATTCTCACCATGAAACAAAATGGGATACACTACTTTTAATAATAAATCAAATGTATTGGGTACCACAAAAGAAATATGCTAAATATATTAAATCCTCCAATCGGTTTGACGCAGCAAATTACAAACATGATACAGCTGAATATTCAATCTACTACATATCAACAATAAATGGTAGTATAAAAATTGTGGATTAACAAAATAATATTTTCGCCTGTTAAATGACTATTTCAAACTTTCAAATCATCACATACCTTCCACCATAGACGAATTGAATGATCACAGCTAGAAGTTACCAAAGCATTATCTTTTTTGTGTGTGTCATTTCGGAATAAAGATGTTTCACTGAGGGAAAACAATCTGCACAACAGCAATGCATTAAAGACATAACGAGTTCAGCAGATATATTAGCTAAAAAGTTATTTCTGCTTATCCTCTCCACATTTATTTCCATAATATATGTCTAATTTAATCATAAGGAACAGACAAGAGGGGCTGGTTCCAGAATAAATTCGAAGGAGTTCAGGCTATGGTTGGATTCATTCCAAACATTAAAAGGAATGCTAACTTCTACCCTTTAATTTAAGAGTGAGATTGTCCCATAATTATCTGCTTTTTGTTTTTTTTTCCCAGCATCTATTGTAAAATCCAAAAATCATCCTTTTATATAAGCAGCACCAGAGCAACTAAAACCCAGTTCACAGTTCTGCCAATATCAAGAGAATATTGTCAGCTAAAGACAATAGTAAGTTTGAGGGACTTTGGGGCACTCAAATTAAGTATAGAAATATGTTTAAAAGTTTCTGGCACCATCAGCTTCAAAACTTCTTCTGTTATATCAATTTTCAAATTAAGTCTGGAATTTCAGAAAGCAAGGCTTTTAGGAGAATATATATTAACCATATTAACATGTAAGAAGATTGGCACCAAGAGAATTAGACTTCAGAATGCATAATATAATGTTAAATCATAATAGCTCTGCACTTGTAGGAAAAACCAGCTTTGCATAGACACACACATGGAACTTGGAACCCAATGTGTGTCAAGAGTCTGACTTAGAAAGACAAGAAAACATGGATTGATGGACATGTCCACAAAAAGTATTTGCTATTAAAATAGTTCATATATTTGGAAATTTAACATTATATAGCTGCAAAATGGGGGTCTAAAATGTTGCCTTTGTCAAGTAATGTTCGATACGAAAGAATAGCATACATCTTGTACATTAGTTGTTCATTTATGGAAAATAAGCCAGGAGATAAAAAGAGAATGTTATGAAGAAGTTCCCTCAAGAATCCATAGAGTGTTGGGCTCTAATGCATGTCTAACATGGACACATCATCCATTTAGGAGAGTCCATGCAACACTGGGAACAACTACGATAGATTCCTGGATTTATCAAATGCTTAAGATTGATTGGTTAGAGTAAATACATCTATGACACTAATTTTTTTATCAATACATCTATGACACTATTTATCTTTGTATTATTTTCTTTTTTTATATCTAAATTCATTTGGTCTTTTATAACGAACATGCAACTTAACTCAACAAAGAATTCCCCAATCTATCTTTAACATTAAACATATGGGACAAGAAATTTAACTTGGCCAAGACATAGGCACAAGCCTTATTACAGTGTAAAACCTCATATGGATGCCATTTTTTATGGATGAATAATTAAATAGCATATTAGTTATACATGACTCTGTTTTAGTGGATCTTCTTGTGTTTTTTCTTCCAATTAGGGTTATTTTACATTGGTCCCATTGGAGTTGAGAGTTCAACAAGCGAGCTTAAAATCAACAATTTATTTTGAATTTTGTAACTTTTATGAGAAAAAGCAACACATTTTTGGGGCTTGTGCCTAGGACTAGTGGCATTAAAAATGTGTGCACCTCATTACTTGATTATGATTTTTCCTCTTTGACCTTCCATTAATCCTAGAACTCACAACTTGCATAAGATGACTTTTTTTTGTTGGCAGTCAATAAAAAAGAAAATTCATTAATATTGAAGAAAGTACATAGACAAAGATGATGAACAATCACCTGAAAAGAAAAAAGAGCAAAAGAAAGAAAGAAAGAACAAAGATAAAATATCACATATACCTCCCTTTCCAAACCTAAAAATGACAAAAAATCTGATCTAAAAGAGTCCTTTGAGACCTCCACAACTAGAGAAGTTGCATAAGATGGCTTCATTAGGGGTTCTTCTTAATGCTTAGGTGCTAGAAATTTGTATATTTTATTCCTTTTCCTCATATGTTACCGAAATTTTTTTAGGTTATGTTGTCCTATCTGCAGGTTCCTTGAGTACAAACCCATTTTCAACCTTCATATGACCTTTTTCCCTGGATTTGGATCACTAACAAGATCAAAAGATACAAAAGGTTTCTCAAAGAAGAGAGCAAACAGACCATAGGTTCCCAAACAGAGTCAATCCATTTTTCTTTTTGTTTTTTATTGATACAATCGGTTATCAATTATTCTTTTTTGCACAATCAAAAGGAAAATGGAAAAAAGAAATTTGCATAAGATTACTCCTTTGCATTGGTTTAATCATTAGTGGTCCTCTACACACATGGCTAAATCATCTTAGTCAGCATTCCCTCATCTTGTTACCCACTGGGCTACCCATAGGTTCCCACAGTGTATTTGTTTCTAATTGTATCCTTTCTAGTCTTTTAAAAGGAATCAAATACAATTTTATTTTACTTCAAGTAATATTTTTTATTTTATCTAATTATCTCTATTTGTCTAGTCAAATTTGAAGAATCTTCTCTAAGTCTCAAGTCCACTAGAAAATATGCTATAAACCCCTCTTTTGATGATAAAAGTAAAGTTTATCAAGGAAAATGCAAAAAAAAAAAGGTTAAAATCTCAAAACATAATTTTCATGGGTTTAATCTTTTAAATGCAACTAATTAATGGTCTATCAAGCACTAAGGAGAACCATATTTCCCATGATTCATGCTATAACTTGAGATGTACATCTCTTACGAGTAAAATAATCAAAACAGAACATATTGTATAAATGTTATTTGATAAACCAGAGAATTCACTTTCCATACTAACCTCATACAAGTAATTCTTGCATTGTGATCTGCCAGTGTTACCGGAATATCTAAGGTATCAATCTTCATTATTTGTATCACTGAGCCCTGATTATTAGAGTTTAAAGTAAGTAAAAGAAACAAAAAAAGCATATATGTGCACAAAGTTGAACAATATTTTAATTGCAATCATTTACGATAAATGTAGTATTGGCCGAAAAGCAATTATGCACAACAAATTTAGGCAAACCATCTGAGAGTAGCTCCAATAGGTGACAAAATGAGGGAAAGTACACTAACATGATCTGGGCATGTTTAGAGAAGAACACCTACAACACCAGTAAAAATAAGTGATCTGTCACAAGCTGAAGGGGCTAGAAGAGATAGGGGCAGACAAAGAAGGACATGGACTGAAGTAGTGACAAATGATTTAAGGGTCCAGAATTTAACAATGAATTTGGCACTGAACAGATCAGAATGGTGGAGCAGGATTCATGTAGACAGGGCTTAGATGATGATGATCTGGAGAACATCTAGATTTTCTTTTTTCTTTCATCTTGATCATTAAAAGATAACATTTTATTAAGACCTACATAAATCAGTATGCCAAGAATGCCTCTGGATGTTGGACGAAACTGACATCTAGATATTCTGGTCTGGCCTTCCAAGGTTGCCAAGTCTAAGAATTAAAGATATGGAGCTATTAAGTTATTGCAAAAACCTATTAATAAAAAAATATTGCATAAACATAAACCTAAAACAAACATTTAATCTAGGAAACAAAGAACTTCCTAATTTTCAGATTCTCTCTCTTTTTTCTTTTCACTCTTAGTCCACACTCTTTTCTTATTTTAGACCTAACCTTCTGGAAATCATATTTTGTGAGAACATTTAGTTGGCAATTTTTTTAGTGACATAGAAAGAATTGTTTCATCGTAATTTGTTTAATAAGTTTGTTTCATTGTAGTTTCCTAAGCAATTGAAAGCATAATTTCATCCCCTAATGTGGATGTACAATAGATGTTAGGAAAGTTGGAAATCACTTCATTTTGTTAAGTCATAAACAGCCCCATCTTCTAATTTAGGAACACATTGGTAGCTACTGTGCTTGCCGGTTTCATGAGCTGCCTTGTTTCATTAGTTCACTACACTTCCCTGAATCTGTAAAGGCATTCTTCTTTTCCTAATTGGGTTCATTTTGATAAGACTAAACAACACTGGAATCTTCACCATGCATCAACAAGATTTGGGGCCATAGGGCACTTGCTTGTTTTCTCTCCACCCCAAATTCATTGGACAGGTTTTAGCTGAAACCCCCTAGCCAATAAGGCTCTCTTCATAGGCATTTTTTGAACTAAAGAATTGAAACTTTGGATGGCTAATATTACCTGGGAAATCTCCATATAAAGGTAAGTTACAAAATGCTGAACGGATTTGAGTGAAACACAGAAAGTCCAGATCATCCACCATCTATGAAGAGTTTGGATTGGCCAAAAACATCCCTCCACATGGCATAAATAGGTTAGAAAAGATACTTAATTGATCCAATTAGGCTTCCTTTTTCCTTTAATGTTATTAAAATCCCTGTAATGAAATCACTTCAGACTTGAAACTTACATGCTTAAATGAACAACTTCATTCCTCTTGAACTCAAAATGCTTTACTATTTAATTGTATTAAGGCAACTACTATGGAACCTCAATTCACATAAACACCATGTCACCGTTCCTTTTGATTAACATTATGCTGCTTGTAATTAATACTCAGCTGCTCTGCATGTGTAACATTGATGTGCAACATATCCAAAGGTACATTGTAAAATCACTTATATTAAAAATACTAAGTAATACTTGTATAATTAAACAATGGAATGTTTAATTATATTTAACATTTATCTAGTTAATTGTAATATAAAGATAACTAGTTAAATATCATATTAATTAAGGTTTTACATAATATTCTTTAGATAAGTCAGTAGGGCCTAAGCTAGGCAATTCGGTCACCAAGCACTGACCGCCCAGACCATACTTAACTACATTATTGAAATATAGAATACAACCACATCTTATAAAGTTTTCTTAAGACTAACCACTAAGCAACAAAAGGGGCAAAAAGAGGCATGCTAATGAGATTAAAGGAGGGAAGGGGGGAGGGAGAGAGAGGGAGAGAACTTGGTACACAGATAAGAGAATGTAATGATCCATTTGAGTTAACCCAAAATTCAACCTCCCTCCAGTTTTCTGATATTTTCTCCTAACAGTCTAGAGAAGAGAGTTAATCCCCTGAGTGATGGGCTGGAGGCTTTTTCTATTAAGGAAATTTGTTTTGTATCAAAAGTCACAAGAGACTTGTCTTGTTACATGGGACTAGACCTGTTCATGGGCCGGGCTCAGGCTTGGCTCTTGCCAAATTTTGAATGGGCCCGGCCTGAAGCCCAAGCCCGACATAGTGTAAAGTCAGGCCCGTGAACAGGTCTACATGGGACCACAAATCGGTGTTGTCAAACTCAGACCAGAACGAAAACAAAACAGGAAAGCTCACTGGGCCACGGTTTTACTGGTTAACCGGCCAGTTAGATTGTTCAGACAACGAAAACAGTCAAATAACTAGGAACCAGAAAGCCCACCAGGTCACTGGTCACAAGCTCAACCATCCAGTCCAGTCCAAGTATGATAGCTCTGCCAAGAATCATTTTGTTTTAACATAATTTGAATCCTGGTGGTGCTGTGGTAGACATATATTAATTTAACAACTCAACATTACCAACCAAAAAATTGAACAAATCAACCTAGATGATGCCAAAATCTGATTCATTATAGGGATAAATTTACAAGTAGAAGATCAAGACTGTAATCAGTCTGGAATCCTAATAGGTTTTAGGTTTGCAAAACGGAAGAAAAGTGAGAGAAAGGAAAGAGAATAGAAGAGAAACAAGAGAACACAAGTTGTTGAAAGGAGGGACAGATTCTAACAGATCTGCTGCCGCCACTCTCTTAATAATTATAGGTTATGTTTAGTACATAATGGAAAGGACACATCTGCCCTTGGTACTTACATAATAAATAAAGTAAATAAAAGCTGAAATAAATAACAACTGAATTAACAAACAGACTCAAACTGACACTACTATAACTGAAACAAATAACTACACTGCTGTCCTACGAACACAGTGGAGACCACTGCAGTGGGGCCCACATCAGTGTTCTCTACACATTAAGCAGAATAGTTGGGAGAGTTGGATAAAATTATGAAGTCATCATGTAATTTACCGCACATAGTCAAGTATCAACTTAACATTTCCACAATGATGTCACCTTTGATCTTTCAGAATGATGCAAAGGAGTTGCTGGTCCTTACTTATTATGTTATCTGGATATGGAAAATACACCATATCAGATACGGAATTTACACAGAAAATTTGAGTATCCAACATAATATGGCGCCCTTGTAAAGTATCTGGTAGCATAGCTTATTCAAAACCCCAAGACAGTATTCACCCAAGCATTTCCTTGATTTGACAGAACAGAACGTACAAAGAAGAGATGTCAAATCACCATAATGGATGGTGTATCTTATACCTGTGAAAGATATACATCATTTTTGTCCAACAATATATAGTTGTATGGCCTTGAGGATGAATATAACTGACAAATAAAAGGATCAACAAATTTAAATTGTTGTAATGCAGAACGTCTAGCCAAATACGCTTCCCTAACTCCAGAAGTTTGCAAAAAGCTAGAAGATATTTGTTGTGGCCAATGTTCCCTGCATTCAATAGAAAACAATTGATTATATGTTGCAAATTTTGAGGAACTAATACAAGAAACAAACATTGATCAGCATACTAAGCCAGGGATGGCTGTCAGCCTGCTGGACTTGGTTGGGCTATCTTATCTGGTATACCAAAGTACATGAGAAAACGTCTGGCCCAGCCCTTTCAAAAGTTTTAACTTTTAATCCCAGCCTATGATGAACCATAAGGGCACAATCCTGACTATGCACTATCAGATCTATGGTGACTTGAACCTCCACCTTTGAAGGACCATTTTAACGTTTGTATGTGAGATAGGTGCCAAAGTATTTAGGAGTCTGGCAAATGAAGCCATGAACCTCATGAAATTATGGAAAAGAGGCAAGGAACTTAAGGAAGAAGTTGGAAAAATCAAGATGCTGCAAGCTTAAGGAAGAAGTTGGCACTAAGATGCCAAGTGCAATTTTTTTTTTCTTTTATCAACATATTACCACGTACAACTAGTTTCAAGCCAAGTTCCAAGTGTCAGCACGGTCAAGTGTAGGCACCGCTAGTGGCATTAATTTTTATATACTCTGGTAAAGATGCAGGACTATCCACTTTCTCATTGCTGACCTAAACGCATGTTTGAATAAGATGTTCAAGACAGCACCCAAGTCCCCGATGTACTTGATGATGTACATCAGCCTCTACTGGCCCTTTGAGGGTAGAATTTGATTAAATTGATTCGAAATAAGGCCTAAGGGCTCAACAAGTTAGATGGAGGATTACACGTAAACAACCTTACTTCATATCCATTTGATGTCAGACTAAGTGTTAGTAAAGAGTAAAATAGATTATAAGTTTTGTTGTTTTGCACCTCTGAAGATGTTTTCCCAACCAAATAACCTCGGTTCTCTTTTCAGTGATGTTTTAGCAGGAGAAATTCTGTCTCCATTTGAACACGCCACTCTGTCACTAAAGCTAAAAGGAACACAGAATAAAACTAGCTTTCGATGAGATCATAAGAAATATCATGAAAATGTGCAAGTGCAGGATAGTCGGTTCCACATAATTTGTGTATCGTAAAGGAATTCTAAACATGCCAAAATGAAAGGAATGAAAAGGAAAAGAAAGAAGTTTACTGGAGTTTCCGTATTTCTTCTTTCCCAAAATATGTGATTTTAAGGGAAGTTTTCGTGCTCAGAGAAGGAAACCGGCGAAAATAATGTCAAAGAAAGGACTAACCCGAGTGGTGTTATATAACAGTACCTGAACCAACGTTGCCAGATGGAATCAGAGTAAGCGGCTCTCCTGAAGAATTTACAGGTCATGGCCATATTCGAAAGGTCTTGTAGGCTCAAATAGCTAGCGCAGTGGGCTAGAGAGTCGACGTCGAGATCTGTAACGCTTGTAGAACTCGTATTCGTCGAAGAAGATATCTCCATCTCTGCAATTTAATTTATCCGTTCTGAGAACTTAAAGACCAGAAAAAGCTTCAAACAATTGCGAAATTGAAGGAGAAATCAATTAAACGAAAGCATCGACACGCGAAAATTGTAAAAATTTTCGCCATCTTCGTCATCTTCGTCTTCTTCATTTGATTTGCCCTATTGTAAAAATTGGTGTGAATCGGGTGACTGTACGTTTATCTGTAAAACGGCATGACACGCGAAAATTGTGCTCCTAGCGGCGGCAGTCTCTGACTCTGAGAAAAGCTGTGATCTTCATTGCCCTTTCTTCAATTAGTCGAAAAGCCGTGATTATAGAGAAATCGTTATGGTGTATAAACTTGCCGAATTAGAAATTTAGAACCTGGAGGCTGGATGGAAGCTCAGTTTGGAAGAAGTACAAAACTACAAATACAAAATTGTTACATTTGCACTTCTTTCAAACCAAGGAAGGAGAGGGGGGGGAGGGAAATGAAAGAGAGTTTGGAGGACGGAACGGCTTGAGACACTTTACTCATTTTTTAGGTTCCGTTTGGGAAGAGGGTAAATGCATATATGCATAGAGTAAATGCAAATAAACATGGCTCAAAAGTCAGGCCGGTTTTATGGTCATTTGCACCCATGGTGATGGTGTTTGGGAGTTTTTTACGTTGCAAACCCAAAGAATGGGTCCCACCATCATGCCTTGATATCTAGCCTTCGAGCATCAAGAATCGACGGTTTACTAGCTATAAGGATGAGTGAGAGCAAGTGATATCTAGCTCTTGTCGAGGCCTCTTGCCCGCAAAACACACAAAAAAAAAAAAAAAAAAATCACAAAAAACATTATTATCATTAAATATATATTCAGATATGTAATCTTATATTTTTTTTCCTCTCAAACACATGCAAAAACCAAGGGGAAACTATAAGAAAACCCAGATACTTGGGATAGAGGTGTAAAGTGGGTCGTGTTGGGCCCGTCTGTGGCCCATGCAAAGTATGGGCCATGCCGTGTTGGCCTGCGGGCCATTATGGGCCATTCCGCCCTCCCCAGTGAAAATTTTGGGGGTTGGCTCAGTATGGCCCACAGCCCAAGCCCGCACGGGCCCATGCCGTGCCGTGGGCCGAGCCTTAGGCTAGGTTGGGCCGTGCGTCGGGCCAAAACTATTTATTTAAAAAATATTGACAAAAAACTTAAAATTTTAATTATATATGAATTTTGTGTATACAATTGCTTATATATACAATAATTAAATAAATTAGTATAATAAAATTTTAAAAAAATTATTTTATTAATATATTATATACTATATATTATTATATAATTATAATTCATATAATATTATATAAGTATATATAAAATATATATATATATATATATATATATATATTATATGTAAAATATATATATAAATAATATATATGGGCCGTTTTGTGGGCCATGTTGGGCCGGGCTGCGGGCGACACTGCCTGCTTGGTCGTGTCGGTCTGTGGACCTAAAACCCTAAGCCCAGCATAGCTCGCAAACCGTCGTGTCATGGCCCGATTTACACCTCTAACTGTGGAATACGACAAGAACAATGCAAGAACAACTGCTGATGAACAATGCAAGACCAAATATCCCAAATACTGTGAAATATGGCGATGTCTGGAGGTCTTTGGTCTTGCCATCGTTGGTAAATCTCCATGGAGAGGATAGATATACATACTTGGGATATTATGTAGTCTTTGGAGCTCGAAATAGCAGTTCAAGTTTTCCATTTCCATCATCGGAGGCCGACAAGATGATAGGTAGTCGTTGGTGAGAAGTAACTGATGGTGCGATCTGACGCTCCCTATTGGTGGACAGCTCAGACGCCGGACTAGGTAGGTCGCTTAGTTGAGCTGTAAAGAAAGAGAGAAAAGATCAGAGTACTTGGGCTTCTTTACCTAGTGTGGGCACTCTAATGCTTAAGTTAGCGAACTGGAGTTTTCAAAAAGAGAGAGAGAGAGAGACACCTAGAGAGCTTGAGTGCTAAATCACACGTACCTCTTCTAATTGAAAGAGATGCCTTCATATACATGTAGGTAGTTGTGACCATAACACGTTTGAGATCTCTAAGAGGATGCATCCATAGCGTGTCCAAGATCCTCGGGAAGTCGTCCGCCATGCTTGGGAGCAGTTTCTTAGTCGGAATGGAATCTGTGTAGATTAACTCTGAACCGGGTGGCGCGGGGAGACGAGTCTAATAATTGAGCGGTGTGATCCCGTAGGGTGTGCGAGGCACATTCGACATGGTTCCGAGTAGGTCTGTCATTTTGGCTAAGGCAAGTCATCGCCTACGTGGTACCGGGGTGTCATGCGGCGATTCTGGGATTGCCACATGGCACGCTGTCACTAGAGGGATAAATCTGCCCTCATCAATTGCCCCCCACTCCTGAGTCGAGGTCAGCTCGGTGAAGGGAGTAGTTTGTTGCACATCTCTAGCTTGAAGTGACAAAATAACATCTTTTTTTTTTTTGCATTGACCCAATTTGCTCGCCTGAGTTAGAAGAGTCTAAGGGCTAAATGTGATACTAGGTTAAACATCGCCATCTTGACCACTAGGTGCAGGAGAAAACTCATCAACACGAGGAGAGGCACAACGAGCACTCCGAGGACATTTGCCGAGCTTGGGATGTAGCCATCAAGGAGTTTTGTCATTCGGTCGAGTACCCCAAGAGTGGAGTTTGTCGTGCCCGCCCTCAAGAAATGCTTCAAATTGTGCCATGCTTCCTTCGGGCCGCTCCACTCATAGACTTCTACGCCGTGTCCCTCAAGTCGGTCCTTGAGTGGGTGGCTAACAAGGTCGATGCGGAGCTCAAAACCGAAGTGGAGGATAGTGGAGAGGGCAACGAGAATGATGCCAACGAGGACAAGGATGATGTTGCATGTTTGAGCGAGCCGAGGTGAGCTAAATGTGGGTCAGTCATTTGTTGATGTCGTGTTTTGAATAGGTTGGCTTGAGGGAGCCTTAATGCTAAACGCAGTTTGGCTTCCCGTTCATAGATTTTCACGGAAGTGTGTATCGCGAGTTGGTTCATCCAGGTCACCAAAGCGGGTCTTAGTTAGGTTGCCGAAATTTTAACAAGCCAGTTTGCTCTTAGCACCTCGGCCTACAGACACCTCGTCACCTCGGAAGGGCTGACATGTGAGGGCGGCTCCATAGTTTCTTGGCCATCAACTCCCATGGGAACCATAGAGGGCTCGACCTGCGGGGTGGCCTCACAGTTAGGGTTGGGAGAATCTGTTTGGGTGAGACCGATGGAACTTGTTTGGGCTAATCATTCTGATTCTACTCCTGGGGGTTCATTTGATTCAGGCGTTGTTGTTGTTGCTTGAGGATGCCATTACTTGAGGCTCAGAGAACGGGTGAGAACTTAGCTTTTGTGTAGCGTGTTTTCATAGACGGCACCAATAGATGGTGCGCGATCTGACGCCCCCTGTTCCCTGTTGGACGCCGGACTAGGTAGGTCACTTAGTTGAGCTGTAAAGAAAGAGAGAAAAGATCAAAGTACCTGGGCTGCTTTACTCGGTGTAGGCACTCCGATTCTTAAGTTAGTGAAGTGGAGTTTTCAAAAAGTTAGAAATCGAGAGAGAGCTAGAGAGCTTGAGTGCTAAATTGTGCATACCTATTCTAATTAAAGAAGATACCTTTATATAGGCACAGGTAGTTGTGATTGTAACGCGTCCGAGATCTCCAGGAGGACGCGACCATGGCGTGTCCAAGATCCTCAAGAAGTTGTCCGCCATGCTCATGAGCAGTTTCTTGGAAATGGAATTTGTATATATTAACTCCGAAGCGGGCGACATAAGGAGACATGTCTAATGGTCGAGCAACATGATCTCGCAGGAGTCGGGCATGATGTGTCACTTTGAAGTGACCGGTTGCCATATCATGCAAGTCGCCAAGTAGGTCCTAGTCAGGTTGGTAGGGTCTTAGGGGAGGTCATCCCTAATGCCGAGGTCCCTAGCTCAGTCATGATGAGGTTGCCACTTAAGTCTTTGTTAGGTCTATGGAGGTAAATCGCCTCTTCCGCCAACTTTGTCCTGTCGAGATCTTATGTCATCAGGTCGATGGAGGTAGGTTGCCAACTGAGTTTCTATTAGGTTGGTAGAGGTAGGTTGTTAGCTTGATCTCTGTTAAGTCGGTGGAGGTGTAGGCAGTTTGACCACCACGTCATGCAGGTTGCTACCTGGACCTCAGTCTAGTCGGTGAGACCTCGGTGGGAGGTCTTCCTTCGTGCCAAAGTCTTAAGCTCGATCCTAAAGTGGTCACCCCGATCCTAATGAGGTGTCTATAGGTTGTCCATGGCGAGGTGGTGACGAAGCGTCCTCAGGGCGTGTGAGGAGCATCTGACGTGGTTCCCAGTAGGTCTCCGTCATTTTGGCTAAGGCAAGTCATCGCCTATGTGGTGTCAGGGTGTTATACGACGATTCTGGGATCGCCACATGGTGTGCTGTCATTAGAGGGCCAAATCTACCCTCATTAGTAACCATTGTTGTGGTGTTCCTCGACCAGAAGATGCGATGAAGAGAGCAAATCAGTCTTCTCTTTCTTTTCGTTGATGGAAAGCTCGAACACAAGTTTGCTTCCTTTTTCTCAATGTGCATTTACACCCCAAAATCGAGAAAAATACTAACAAGATTGCATATTTCCCTCAATTTTTGAGGTTCATTTACCATTTTACCAAATGACAGGAAAACTAACCCAGGGTACATATTTCCCTCGAATCAGGTTTGGAAGGAGTATAAATACAAATATGTACAATGCAAATACATACAAAATAATAAAAAATATAAGGTTTTGCAGTCTACAAATTTACAAAGAATTATTTGCTCGAACTTGAAACACTTACCTTTCTTCTTCCTCCTTTACCTCCTTTACCTCCTTTATTGCGGTTGTCTTGTCATCATCTACTAAACCGATTCTTCTCTCTCTTTTGCACAACAAAGACTACTGAAAAGTCTTTGCCAAAAAAAAAAAAGAACTGAACAATCATGAACTTGCAAAGAACTTTGCCATCTTGACTGCAAAGTCTTCATAGGGGTATCAATTAGACTGGATTTGGCCCAATCCGATCCAGTCCAATGTGAGTCCATTATAAATGGACCAGGTTCAATCCAATCTAATGAGTGTTTTGGACCAATTTGGACCAGTCCAATTCAATGTATAGACCGTCTAATCAGTTCAAATTCATTTTGATTTAGATTGGTTTCAACCCAAACCCAATCCATTGACACATATATTCTTATCTTATATCAATAGACCAGATATTGGCTTAATCCAACTCAATTCAATATAGATTTGTTATGGACGGATCAGATCCAATCCAATCTAATAAATATTTTGGACCAGATTGGTACAATCCAATATATCTTATTGGTCCATCCAACTTGTCCATTTTGATTTTGGACTGGACGGGGTCCAATCCAAGACCAGTCCATTGACACCCTTACTCATTAGGATCTGATTTAAAATTTTAAAAAACAAAGGTATTAGTGGACTTCCAAATTATCCATATTAGTAAAG